TCCTGCTGATACTTGCCTGAAGTTATTGTATGGTCGTTGCAATAGCAGTGTATAATTTGGTGTGGAAATCTCTTGCCAAGGTATGGAATAGATGCTTTCTTGAATTTGGAAAAATGGTGAATATTGTCATGTCATGTTGTGAACTGGACAATGCCCTGTTGTTCAGCTAGGTAGAAAACAGACAATTTGAAAGTTTTGAAACCTGCAGGCATGTCTAATGGCAGAAGCCACTGCTCACCTGTGTCCAGAAGAGCCCCTGTTGGGTTAGGGGTCGCAGAAATGCACATTTTGAAGTTCCCATGTAAGAGCTTACCTCTTGGGCAGGAATAACAGATTATTTTCTACTATATTAGACAGAAGCTTCTGAAATTGCTTTGGATAGTCATTTTTGTAGCTACCTTTACAACTTCCTAGTTTGCAGCAAATAGCGGGGGAGGATTTTGTCAGCAGTATTTTTTAACTTGGATGTCTGTTATTATGCTTTTTAGTCAGCATTTTATCGGCTGCTTTCAGAAACAAAAAGACATCGCTTCTTCCATTGAAAAGATCAATTCTTGCTGTAGGCCATTTTAATTTTGGCTTCTGAGCATAGATATAAATGTAAATCTAACGAACCGTTTTTCAGCAGTCTGTCACCTAGTAGGGTACCATGCACTGCAAATACCCTTCTGCACAGTAATTTCTTCAAGAAGAAAAGCAGCTAGTGGAGGTATCTTTTCCAGCAGTGGGCCTGGAGAGGGCGTTTCTCTGCCACAGTCTCCGTGGGACCGTTCCTTGGGCTGGCAGCCCGTGGTGGTCATGGGGCTCGTCCCTTCCTCTCCTCCTGTCCCGGTATGACTCCAGGGTGGCTCAAAAACGTAGTCTCCACCAGAAAAAAAAAAAAAGTGAAACTGATGAGAGAAAATTAAAACACCCTCAGCATTTTAGTTTTAGATGCAGGACTCTCTAGGGACGGGGAACATTCACTCCACATCCCGCAGGGTATCTGCGAAGATCAGGAATGAGCTCAGACCAGCCGAGTGTCAGCTCGCTGTCTTGGCCACCAGATTTGCTTCCCTTTCGAGCTGGCCGCTTGCCAGCGGATGGGCTGATGCCCTGCTCGCTTTCTTACCTCTCGGCTTACAATGTGTGCTGCTTTGGGACAGGTATGTTCTGCTCCATGCATGTGAGAGAGAAATTGGTTTTGTTGTGCTTAATGGGAACTAAGAAGCAATTGTGGCTCCTGAGCCATCATCGAAGCAGGGTGATTGTCATCTTTTATTCCTTTTTCCGTTTCCCACCTTTTCTTCTTCAGTTATCCTGATGAAACATTGAAGAAATTGTGGGCTGGAAAGTGTTTGTATTGAAGAAAGAGAACATTTTCATCTGCTGCTAAATACAGCTACTAGTGATAAAAATAAGAACTCAATTAGGTGAAGCCAAAGTGGCTTATCTTT